ACTGCATTAAAGGGGCATGTTGCTCTTCTCAGCTGCTTATTAAAGAAGAGCACCCCTTCGCTGCTTCTCTCTTCTGTAAGGGCATGCTGCCCCAGTTTATGCCATTTCAAAAAGTCTTTGCTTTAAAGCTATTGGGATTTTGCTTACTTGTTAAGGCTTATCAAGTGTCAGTATCGTGTTTGTTGCTAGACCTGCTTGTTGCTTTAAGCTATTGGTTGTTACTGCAAGTGCTGGTATCCGGGTAAACTTGCAACAGCAAGAAGCTAATGTTGTTTAAGGCCATCTAACTGTTCTTGAAATATGCTTGCTGCTTATGGCTCATCTGGTTATTGGGTTTCTCTGACCACTGCAACATGCTGTGATTAAGCAAGCAACATGCTTGTTGCATAAAGCTATTGGGTGTATTGGTAAGGAATTTTGTCTATACGCACGTGGGTTATCAGATTGGACTTGTATCACAATGAGCGCAAATGTCAATGGGAGGCGACAAACCTGTACACTTATGAGTTGATTTATTGAGTTATATGCTGTTTTTATAGAGTTTTTAAATGGATGCTAAAGCTTTAGGCCAGGTAGAATCTGCGATCTCTGAACCAGTTCATTTGCTCGCTTCTACGGCTGCAGTACGCTGTGTTTGGTGCAAACTGGCAAAGTAGACTGCAATTCTAGTGGGTTTTCTGCATCTTTAATCTTTCAGGTACTACATTAAAGGGGTTTGCTGCTTATAAAGAAGAGCACCCCTTCGCTGCTACACTCCTCCAGTAAGGGGCTTGCTGCTCTTCTTAGCTGCTCATAGCAGAAGAGCACCCCTTCGCCGCCACTCTCCTTCCGTAATGCATTTTAGGTTAGATTGCTGTCAACATGTGGTTGGGGGGGCGTTCGGCATATGGTTTGTTTTGGGGGGTTATTTATGCTCTCCCTGCTCCTATCCATGCTAGGCTGCATGGATGTGCAGGGAGTGTTGCCCAGAACAGAACTACACCCCCAACCTAAAATGTATGTTTATTGTAAGTTATCTTTGACGATAGTGGTCCTGACAGAAATGGAGCGTAGCGTTAGTTCTGGCAGGTCACGTTAGTCAAGCTTGCATCAGCTGATCCACGTCTACCTATAGGAATACGATGCCAATCATTTCCCTTTATAAGGTCTTTTCAGTCATTATTCAGCAGCTATCGCTTCGCTCCGGAGCTAATCACCCACCTCCATCCCCAACTCCTCCTCTCATCCAGACAGTACTTGGCACTGGATATTTCTTCTCGAGTCAGACCATTGAATTATGTTGATATATAAAATAATCACTTAGAACATTGATGATATCTGCTACATTAGTCATTAATGTTGGTTCTGTTCAGTTTACCCTTGGGGGGTTATTTATGCTCTCCCTGTTCCTATCCATGCTAGGCTGCGTGGATGGGCAGGGAGTGTTGCCCAGAACAGAACCATACCAAACCCAACCTAAAATGTATGCTAATTGTAATCTTTGACGATAGTGGTCCTGACAGAACTAATCCTTTAAGGCAGTATTTTAGAGTAAAAACTGGTCATAATCTAACCAAAACTAGGACGATACTCATATTTTTCTGTATGTCTGTCTTTAACTTCTTCATTCTGCCAAAAAAAAACAAAACACTTACTACAGTACAGTACATGGTTAAACCATGGTAAACGCTGATTTATAAACAATTCTCATCACAAATCAGAGGAAATGTTGGTAACACTTTATTTCGATAGTCCACTTTAGACATTCTATTAACAGTAAGTAACTTTGCAACTACATGTCAACTAGCAGTTAGTAGAGTATTAGTAGACTGTCTGCTTAATATCTTCTAACACTTTCTTTGTCAACTTACTCTACTAACCCTAAACCTACCCTAACGGTCTACTCTGAGAGTCAGTAGACATGTAGTTGCAAATTAATGAGAATTAGTTGACATGTTGTTACAAAGTTACTTATAGTTAATAGAATGTCTAAAGTGGACTATCGAAATAAAGTGTAACCGAAATGTTTGCGCATTTTGCAGTCAAGTGCACGTTACAAGTGGCACAAACTCACACCAAATGAGTCTGTGTGGAGCAGCAGTGAAGTGAGCCGCTCCGAGACGGAAAAACGCAGCGTGTGTGAGCAGTGAGCACAGACCACGCGCCTGAACAATTCTGGAACTCTTCACTCTGAGACAGCACATCAAAATATTTTCAAATCACTAAGCCATATAGGGATTTCGATTTTATTTCAATTTATTGTTTAGCATTTTATAATCTGCATGGCAAATTACCAGCGTACTTTGAGGTCAAAATGCGTACAGGTTGGCAGGTCTGCATTTGTTACAGTATGTATGAATATTTGATAATGTTACTTAATAAAAAATACAATCATTCATTGTGAGTTCATGTAAGCTCAGGTTCATTAAACAATATACATTATTGGCTTTTAAAATGGATTAGTACATTAACATTAACTAAGATTAACTGATGCTTTAAAGGAATTTTTCATTGTTGGTTCATGTTAACTAATGGAACCTTATTATAAAGTGTTACCAATTTTTTTAATGTTTTTTTTAAAAGAAATGCACACCAAGGTTGCATTTATTCGATAAAAAAAGTAGTAAGAGTAGAAAAACAAAAACAGTAATATTGTCATATGTTATTAAAATAATATTTTACATTTTTTGTTTTAATATATATTTAAAAGCAAATTTATTTTGAGTTTGGTGCTCAAGAAACATGTTGCTCTGCTTAATATTTTTGTGGAAATGGTGATTCTCTACTTTTTTTTCAGGATTCTTTGATGACTTCAGGATTCTTTGATTTGAAATACAAATCTTTTATAACATTATAAATATCTTGACTGTCACTTTTGATCAAATAAATTAACTTGCTGAATAAAAGTATTAATTTCTTAAAATATGTATATTTGAAAAGTTATTCTTTTGTCTTTCTGTTGCTTGTAATTTGTTATTTGTTAATGTTGAACTTAATAAATATATGCTGCTTTTATGTTGATATTAAGTATGTTTTGTTAAACAGGCTACGCATTTCTGCAAACACTGTAAACATGGATTTAATATTTATTATGAATGTGACATCAGTGGACTAACTAGATTAACGTGAGGAAGGACATCAGAGTCGTTTCATCTGTATCTGTGAGTCATGAGAGCAGGGCTTTTATTTCTTTACACAATGACATTTGCTCATGCGAGAGCTGCTGACTCACTGAAGAAAACGGCACTGTCATCCACAGCTGCCTCTCTGACCAACGTCACATCTATTGTACTGCACCCATATGTGCGGCGCTTTATTTACTGTATATAAATATGCAGTATATCCATACAATGAGCTTGTTTAGTAAATCTGTCAAGCATCTCTACTTCAGTTAAAAGCTTTGTAAACTGGTGTGAATGGTGTAAAAACATTAAAAACACACACACACACAGTATCTCACAGAAGTGAGTACACCCCTCACATTTTTGTAAATATTTCATTATATCTTTTCATGTGACAACACTGAAGAAAGCTCCATGTCCAAGAGGGTTAAGGCAGTGCTGGAAAATAATGGTGGTCACACAAAATATTGACACTTTGGGCCCAATTTGGACATTTTCACTTAGGGGTGTACTCACTTTTGTGGCCAGCGGTTTAGACATTAATGGCTGTGTGTTGAGTTATTTTGAGGGAACAGCAAATTTACACTGTTATACAAGCTGTACACTCACTACTTTACATTGTAGCAAAGTGTCATTTCTTCAGTGTTGTCACATGAAAAGATATAATACAATATTTACAAAAATGTGAGGGGTGTACTCACTTCTGTGAGATACTGTATATAAAGACTAGTATTTGTATGTATATATTATATTAACGGTCATTTGTGTTATTGTCAACCTATATGGGTTTTTCAATGGATGCTGTTGATATCATATTTTAATAATCAAAGGCTGTGAGATTTTGAAACGGTCTCAAATTTACCAGTTTGGTCGATAAACAGTATCTGTTCTGTGGTTCAACTTCCCATAACAGAAAACAGTCCAGACACTCACACTGAAATATAATTATTATTAGCTAGCTGATTTTATTTGACTTTGTGACCGGTAAACAACAAAAAGCATCTCTGCAGACTTCTGAAACGCAACAACGGGCTGATCACAGATCTAACGAACAAATTTGTCAATAAATCGCTTCTTACATTGATCATCTGTCAGTCAACTGTCTACTTTTAGCACAGAACTCCACTCAAACCAGTGACACACACACACACACACACACACACACACACACACCTGAAACCCTTAGCACTAAAGTAACACTTCTGGTTGAAAAAGCAACAATGTCATTGTTACGTGGCTGAAGCTGATGTAGTAGTATGAATATAATCCAGATTTTTATTACATCAATTTACTGCAAGTCACAAACCCTCTCCCGTGGCCTCATGGGATAGTGAAGTGTCCATCAGTATCCTGCTGGAAGTAGTAGGTCATCCGGGTACTTTTTCCCTACTGTGTTTTTGAAAAATATGACATTTTGGCATACAGATTTTCACATACTATATTGTAGGGAAGTATAAGATTTCGTACAGGGAGAGTTTATATGTGGCGTTGCTCCTGTTTGCCCCGCCTACTCTGAAATCTCATTGGTCCAAAATCACAACAACATAACTGTACATTACACATGAAATATCCTGATTGGCTGTTCTTTTATCCCGAAGCGCAGGATTTTCATCATAGACAATGCAATTATTTGTTGCTGGAAACTTGCGATTGTTGCATGATTAGGACACGGTGTTACAGTAATAGAAATTTTATTTGACTAATTTTGCAAACATACATAATTTATCATATAGCCTAATAATAACCAAGGAGTGGAAACAAATCTTAATTTTTTTATGCAACCCATATTTTGTTTTCTTATTTCCAGGGTGAGATCTGAGCCGCACATGTGCATTGGCTGCAGCAGGTGACAAGTGCGTGAATGCACATCAGTAATGCACACTAGTCCTCGTGCCCTACCTGAGCGCCACCCGGACTGTGCTCTCGTCCTGTCCGCTTGACATGATTCAGATCTTCATCGATCGATGGATCGCACACCAATCCGATCAATCCTGTAAGTGCGCAGCAGCTTGAAGGCGGTGAGTGAGTGCTCGGCTCACGCACGCGTCGGCTCTGCCATGATCAAGGCGTTGATCTGCATGCAAGCGACGCGCTGCGGTCACGCGTGATCATTCGCTCATGCGTTCGGCCAAACTGCGATCCTGTACGCGTCCCGATCTCATCTGATCTACAAGCTCACTACATGAAGTCCCAGCCGCAATGCGTCACCAAACCACGCCTCCTCGAGGACCCCTGGAGGGTGACGTCATCACACGCATGCAAATCAGTCTATTCGGCTTGTTATGATGAGACATAAAAGCAGTAGACTCTAGATCAGGGTTCCTCAAATCTTGCCCTGGAGGGCCAATACGCTACAGAGTTTAGCTCCAACCCTGATCAAACTCACCTACCTGTGATTTTCTAATGATCCTGAAGACATTGATTAGCATGCTCAGGTGTGTTTGATTAGGGTTAGAGCTAAACTCTGCAGGAAAGTGGATCTCGAGGGCCAGATTTGAGGATCCCTGCTCTAGATATTCTAGATGACTTTATATTGTGGATATATCTGCACAGATGCACTGATATGCTTATTTCCTTTTCTGTCCTCTGAAGTCACTTCTGTTCAATTTATTGTGAACCTAATTATTTTATTTGGTATATTTAATACATAAAAGTATATAATACTACTTATAATAATAACTATATATATATATATATATATATAACAGTAGAAATAATTGTCATTATTTTGTTAATTTGATAGATATTGTATTATAAATAAATAGATGTAAATAAATATATATCCCACAGTAACTGTATAATTGTTGGCTTTTTCATTGGTCTTCTGAGATAACATAAGCATAAAAAATAATTAAATTAAATTAAATAATAAAAAGATGCTCTGCATAGTTGCAAACTACAAGTACACACACAGCTATTATTAATCATTTGATGACTTACTATTCATTATTTGAGTTTGAGTAATAATAATAATAATAAATTAATAAAAGACGCTCAACATAATTGCAAACTATTGCAATTACACACGACTGATATTAATTCCATTATTAAATACTATGAATTGTTTTGAAGTTTGAGTATATTTTCATGCATTAGTGGCTAGGCCAACATAAATTATTTTTTTATATAAAAGAATAATAATAACAATATAATAATAATACAATCAAGTAAAAATGTATTATTATATTATTAAATATAATTTTATTGTCAATATACATATTTATAAATGTATATATATATATATATTTGTGTTTGTTTTGTATTAAAAAGTAATGATAACACTACTTAAAGCCTTTATGTATAATGCATCATAAAGTTAATCATAATATAGGTTGTAAAGCATTATATCTTTTCATAAATAATTGTAACTAAAGTTAAAGCACATTTTAATATTCAAAGGTTTGTTTGTCATGTGTTTTAATGAATTATACTACAATAAATACTAACAATAAATAGATAAACTGTAATAATAACAATAAACTGTGGATACATGGATTCATGAAATCATACAATGCATTATAAGGTGCATTACAAGGCACAATTAATGCATTAAAACTACTTTTATAATGCATTATATAAAAAGACTTTTAAGTGTTACCAAAATAATAATAATAAAAATGCCATATTCAATATATGTCTGTGTGTTCATGCTGTATCTGATGCAGTGGTGTTGTGCGCTCTCATGTGGTAATGCTCTGTTTTTCACCACAGTCTTGTAAATTCATCTGTTTTCTGAGCCAGGACGAATGCATTCAGACATTACAATAAAATAGCATTTGTTTATTTAATCTACATTTCAATTTTAACTTTAGCACACATTTTACAGGCTACTGGGGAAATCTTTCTACAGTAAGTGGGTCTGGGGGAGTGTACTGTAGTAAAAAAGTTCTCAAGTTGTCACAGTTTCATTTAATAATTTCCTTTAACTCAATGCACTTTCAACTTGAATTGACTGTGAGTGCATGACAGTGCTGTAACAGAGGTGAAACAGTTCAGCACTGGAGCTCGAGGGTCTTGACCTCCTGCCAAACTGTGTCCAGTTACTCGCTCTCACATTACCAGAGCCAGCCGACAGCAGAGACACACATAGTACAGTATACAGGACGCGTTCTATCAATACAGTACACTACAGTTTGCCCTCACGTTTGAGACACATTAGAGCAACATATGCCATGTTTGTTGTAAGAAAACCAATGCACTTACACACAAACACAAAACGATTTTTCTTCTCTTGCTTCCTAATCTAGTAAACCTGGCATTGGATATTACAAATATTACTTGCTGTTTGATGAATTGCTTTTGTGAGTCACTTCCTGCTAAATATACTGTATACATGTAAATGTGAACATAAAATAAGCCTATTATGAAATGTAGGTGATTTTAAGCTAATTGAATAAAATGAACAGTGAAAACTGAATCAGAGGGTGGTGGATCAGTGTCCTGCTTTGGGCTAAATGAGGGGTACAGAGGTCAAAGAGGGTCAGATTGGGACAGGACTGAACAGGTTTCAGCCTGGCGGAGCCGAGACCACCAAGAGACTTACACAACCAGCTTAAGAACCATTCAGAAACATTAATTCATCTGAAAATATACAAATACAGAATTGCACAGTTATCAGCAGCAATTTCAGCTTCATAGAGTCTTCTCAGGAACAGCATCTAAATATAAAATGTGACTAAACTGCCTCAATGATTGACAATGAGTATCTTGTCTTTCGGTTTATAACAGAACACAGAATCAGAAGTAATGAGAACAGTACACTGAAAAATTAAATAGTGTATGATTAAATGAATTACAAAGAAACAGCAAGTAACACACTGAATTAAACAGGATATGTTTAAGTAGAAAGGCTGACATTTTTTTTTTTTTGTAAAACATACTCTAATAATCTTCCTTATACTTTTTTAACTATAATATCAGTATCATTAGGTTCATAAATGTTTAGAGCAGTGCCAGAGGAAAAAGATATCAAAACTACTAAAGTAGAAAATTCACATCACAAATGAAGCTGCTTTATAATGGAAAATCATCATGTGATTCTACAATTTGATTATTTCCATTAAATGAATCTTCAAATCAAAGGTCATCATTACTGCAACTGCAGCAGAAAAAAAAATTGAATAATAACATCAGTTGAGTTGACTCGATCTCTTATGTGGTGCAGTCTGAAAAATTTGTTTTCCCCCCCCACACAACACAAAGTAGATTGAAGCTCTACTAAAATCTTTCGATTACAGCAGAAAATAATTTTAAAGGGGTCATATGATGCGATTTCAATTTTTCCTTTCTCTTTGGAGTGTTACAAGCTCTTGGTGCAAAAAGAAGATCTGTAAAGTTGCAAAGACTAAAGTCTCAAATCCAAAGAGATATTCTTTATAAAAGTTAAGAGTCAGCCACTCCTACCTAAAACGGCTCGTTCTAACACGCCCCCACATATCTACGTCACTATGTGGGATGATTTGCATAACGCCAGCCACCCAAATGTTCACGCAAAGAAAGAAGGCATAACTTTATTGTTGCTGTAGTATTGTTGTTGCCGCTGCCGCTATGTTGTGAAGACGCTGTGTGTTTCGTTGTGAAAGCGAAACTACTTTGTTTGGTCTTCCAAAAGAGGACACGACTACAAATCAGTGGTTAAGTTGTATTTACAACACTGTTCCAGAACAGTTCAACCCAAATATTCAGATGTGTGCTGTGCATTTTATGGAGGACGAGGACAGTTTCCTGGGAGAGTAGACTACAATGCCGGTGTCTGTTGCAATAAAGTGGGGCAATTCCAACTTTGCAAGGACAGTCTGGTGCTTCTGACTCACAGACTGTAAGTACGTTTTTTGCCACTGATGATTCAAATGCGAGTTTTGGGCAGTGTAGAGTAGTGCTTGTTGTTTGTCATTTCTCTGATCACAAATGCAGACAGGGTTTTATGTTTACGCGGCACAATGCAACGCAATGCGTAAAAAGACAGAATAAGTCATTATAATGCGTAATTATGTCCCCACTGGATGCAACAAATGCCTCGTTTATAATGGGTTTTAATGTTTTTGTCTCGTCGCTCCGGCCGGGACAAGGCATCACAGTATGGCAATGGGCGTAACATTTCCGTCACACGCTTGAGGTATTCGGCCAATCACAACGCACTGGATAGCTGGCCAATCAGAGCACACCTCGCTTTTCAGAATGATGAGCTTTGTAAAAATCGACGCGTTTCAGAAAGGCGGGGCATAGAGGAGAAACAATAATGTACAGTATGTGGAAAATAATGTGTTTTTTAAACCTTAAACCGCATAAACACATTTCATGACACCAAATAATGTTCTTTTTAGCTACGTCATATGACCCCTTTAACTTGTTCCCCAGTTTATAAAAATAAAAACAAGTGATAAAGCAGTATGTAATCTTATTTGCAGTGTGTAAAAGAAACTCATTGACAGTGGATACTCACTGATATGTAGGAAATTCTGCTCTCTGGTTCCAAAGTCGCACAGTACAGAGCTCCCAACTCCAAACGGGGCTAAAACATCAAACACTGCCAGCTTCATTCAACAATACCAGATCTACAACATCATCATCATCAGTCACCAGCACCATGAGCCCGCATCCTCAAACCACACCCACAAATCCACCTGAAGGAATAGTTCAGCCACAACTCTGCCATTATTTATTATCAGTTTGCTGCTATTTCTTTATTTTAACTAATTGTACTTATTTTATTAATAAAAAAACACATACATTTATATTTTGTACATATAACTTTTATTTGTTTACGGTGCTTTTTTTTGTGTGTCCTTTTTGGAGTTTACAGCTCATGCTCACTATTAAACTGGTCACTGCATGGAAACAAAAACGTGAAGATCCTTAAAGGCATAGTTCACCCAAAAATGAAAATTCTGTCATCATTTACTCACCCTCATGCACACACACACACTGAAGAAATGTATAAATGTTCCATAGTATGTTATGGAAGTCAATGGGACCTGAAACCATTTGGTAACCAACATTCTTCAAAACATCTTTGCATACAGGTTTGGAATGACATGAGGTAAGTAAATTATGAAAACATTTTCATTTTTGAGTGAACTATCCCTTTAAAACACACACACACACACACACACGCACACACACACACACACACACACACACACGTTTAGAATTATATGAGGGGGACAGAATTTGTGGGTGAATTATTCC